CGGGTACCCGTTATCTGCGGGTAGCGAGAACTACCCGCACGGGTAACGGGTAGTTCAGTTTTTAGTTAAATTTCGACATACCTAAATCAGTTCACTAAGAAACTTAACATCAAGTTAGTCCATTTGCCAACAAAGGCGTCAATTTATTATTTATTCATTTCAAAATTTGCCATTTGCCAGCAACTAACGTTTATAGCGAGCGTGTCTTTTGGGAAGCCAAAAAAGCCTACGGCAGCCTCAAATGCTTTTCATGTCCCGAAAATCTGGAAAAAGTATTGTTACTCAAGTATAATTGGCCTGCTCCAAAATATCTAAACTATATAAAGCAGGCGATGACATCGCTGCTGGGTCGGTGGCTTAGGTGAGAAGTTAGCCTCTCCTTTCTCTCTCCACTCTGCAGAGAGAACAGGAGAGGCTAACTTCACTAATGTTTTGATAACGGGCTTATCGACAGGCCTATTTTGCACGTCAATTGGCGGGCATCTACACTAGTAAGTAATACTTCAACTTGTATTTGTGTAAGACCGACGAGATTTTAATTTGTGATTTGAAGGTGAAAAACCTGAATCGGATTGAAAGCAAAAATTTTTTTTGTATTTAGTCAATTTTTATAAATCAAAATTTCAAAAAATCAAACTAAAAATTAACCCTTTTTCGAGCACACCCAAGCTACACCACAATGGTCTACGGAGTATATAAAAAAGTCAAGCAAAAAATTAGGAATCGCGTGATACTTTCCGTTGAATGTCCACTTTGAAGAAAAACATTGGCAGCAAAGTTCAATTTTTAAGTAAATGTTCTACATCTTTTTCCTCCACTGGACGAAAACCATAATGGACTTGCCCCCAATAGTTTTGGTTGAACGGACTGTTCAATTGAAAGATAAGCGATAATTACTCATTTTTGGCTTGATTTTTTATATAATTCGCTAAGAAATTCCGGTGTAGCTTGGAAAAGCAGCTATTATAAGCCAAAAAGTCTGGTTTCCGAAACTAATAACATCTAGCCATATGGCATTCATTGCACAGCATTATCTCAAACTACTGAACAACCAAAATGGGCAAATAATTGATTATTTAATCAATTATTTGCCTATTTGATTTAAATCAAATTTATTCTGAAGGTTGGTTAGTTTTTAACTTAATTCTCATAACGGGTAGCGGGTAACGGTTACCCGCACGGGTACCCGTGCGGGTACGGGTAGTTGGCCAGCGGGTAGGGGGTCGGGTAACGGGTAGCATTTTCGCTACCCGCGGCAACCCTAGTAAAATATACCTGAATTGCACCAAGATTGAGTTTAGCCAACCGTACCAAAATAAAACCAACAAGAAATCGCCGGAGTGGCTAAGATTTGGGGTCCGAGGTAAAAAGTTGTCATCTTTGAGAATGACAATATTTTTTCCAAAAATGGGCTATCGCTAACCATAAATATGCTTGGCTTCACCTATGTATTCAATAATTTACGATTCATGTCATAAGTACATAGTTTCAAGATACATACGCCAGATCAAAACGTGTTTGTGCAATGTGCGTACACGAACTAATCATGGTGCAGTTATGGCCGGTATCAAAGCATATGAAATAATCATAAGCCTAGTGAATGCATGCCTATGTAACTAATTTTTAGCACAAATCACTATATATTTGTAACGTAACCATAGCTGCAGATAAGAAATAAGCAAAATAAATCCGCTATGTTAACTTTAGTAATTTTGCACATGAAAGGCCGGACGAGAGTTTTACTCTCCAGGCCGGACCAAAGTGAGATACGGCACTGATTGTAACGCATCGAAAATGTGAAGTACATAGCTCCAATAAAAAAAGAATAGCAAAAAAAACGCATTAAAATTAATTACCTATATAATTTGGCGAGATGTGGCGCTTGGTAAGCCAAGACTTCGCTCAGCGAGTTTTTCACTACCGTTAAAACGCGAGCGGATGTGACATGAAAAATACTGTGGGCCACTTCACGGTCATATGCAAATACAAACAAAGTATTTACAAGATTATTTAGGGTCGTGAGGATTGTGGTCAAGTGAATTAAAAAACTAAATTTTGCCGCCCTCGTGTCAATAATTCCCCAAAATGTGCAACGGGTGAAACTGTTTTCTCTAATCCCTCCACTTTATTTTTTTCTACTGCAGCTAAGAAATTGAAGTTTGATCCTATCGAAGTAACATGAATTAAAGTTCTTAACCTGGGCTAAGGTACGGATAAAGAAAAAAAAACACAAAAGTACAGTGCAACCCAGGAAGGAGCAACATGCAAAAATTGATCTTCGAAAAATTTGCAGAAAAATGTAAAAGAAATAACTCGTGATTGACGATGAAAGTTACATATGCAACATTTTACCCAAACTCCCTGATGAATGTTTTTAAGAGTAAAAGTATCAGTGAATTTAATTCCAGTCAATTTTTTTTTAATAACTCAACCCAGAAAAAGTTACTTGTCCTCTGGAATTTTTCCCAAAGCCGTATAGTATTGAACAAACATTTATTCATGTCATACATGCAGTATGACTCATACTCATGAGAAATGAATGACAATTTTAATTCAACATTCACGTTTCATTTAATGCTCGCTTTATAGATGGGATGAATTGAAATATATTCAATAAATTCAATTTGAGATAAAATAAATAATTAATGAATAATCAATCATACCAGTAATCAATTTTCCCAAACTTTAAATGAAGGAATAATGAATGCATAATTTTTCCAATTCATTCACACTGAATGAATTTGAATGAAGAAATAAATACACATATTTTAACATGGAGTATAACCTGGAATACATATTTACATGATACATCTACCGAATTCAATTATATCTGCATGGTCATGGTTCGCTTGATAAATAATGCCAGGTGACGCCCTTCTGATGATGCCATTTGCACTACTTCCTCTCCCTTCAAACTGCCCGTTACAACTACAGGGGTAAAACAGACAGATTCTGGAAACCTGCTCCACACGTAGAGTCGCCCATCCTCCGTTAAAGCCAGGCAATTTGGTCCAAGAATAAATTCTAGAACACCATAAAATTAATGGGTATCAATTTGGTAAGCGTCGTAAACGTCATGTTCGCAAGTTCCGATGTTTGCGAAGAGTTGTGAAGCGACAAGCGTTCAGATTCCTTTATTTTTTACGAAATATGCGCAGCAAAAGCAATTTGTTTCAACTATTTTTCGCAAACTCGTGGTCAAGTGAATTTCACCTTATCGCAAACATCGGAAAGTTGTGTTGCGAAGTGACGTCTTTGAGTAATTCGATACAAACATGTCCGTATCATATCAATTTTTAGCTTGTAATTATTTTGCACACCTTTCACTCGGACGCCACACAATTCCCGAACTCTAGTAGTTCTCGCCGCATGTTTATCATCACGGAGGAAGTGATAAGTCTCGTCTTCCATGGTGACGACGATCCCTTCCTTTTCGTGGACATGTGCCAATTTCGCAGACTTCAAAATTTCCCCACCTTCTGGCCTCAGGTCGTTAAAAACTTTCCAAATCTTCAACGTCTTCTTTGGAATGATGCCAGGCGACGACGTGGGCGAATCCATTGTAAATAAGGAGTAACTCACTAGTTATCAGCTAAGATAAGAAGACGTGAAATGGATGTTTGAAAAGGGGAAAAAAGTTTGTTTTTATTTGCTAAAAAATTGCAGATCAGCAGGGATTTGTTGTCGTGCCAGGTGTCAATGTTTTGAGGAAAAAGTGAGATGATTTGCATGCATGCACGAGAGAATTTATTTAACCAAATAATTTATTTATTAAATTCAACAAAGAAAAGAAAGAAAGAATTCAATTTTTCGTTCATACATATATATATGTAAATTAATTACGCATAATTATATGTAAACTGCTTCAGTACGTATTTCACAAGTAGTGGAATAACAAAGACAGGGGAAATTCAATTATCAAAAATCCCCAATAAAGAAAAAGAGAAAGAGGACAAAATTATAGTTAATTTACATGTTCATTAAGGCTCTTGTTACATCGTCCTAGATTTTTTTCTCATCTTGCCCTTGTTCAATGTCTTTAAATGCAAAGTTTAAAATAGAATAAACTTCATGAGTTTTGAGATAAATTAAACGTTTGATACTTTAATGTGAAGCTAATTTTTGGTACAACAAACAAGTCGTTTTGAAAAAAAATTAATTTGCCATCTTTTCACAATAAATTTCTGCAAAAATGAATTTAATAATTTTTTTCCAAACGACTTGTTACGGGTTAAAGAAAAGTCAACGGGGCTCTGTGAGAACTTATTATGCAAATCCGAAGGAAGAATAAAAATGTGTCGTTTTTTCCTGGGACAAATTTATTTGCATTTTTATCCTCCTCGGAATGGAAATCGACGATCTAAAATAATTATCTGCTCCACTTTATAAACTGTAATTATCAAAATTTAACTAGAGTAACTAATTTTACACTTTCATCAAATTCAGGCTGAATTTGATGAAAGTGTAAAAATTATTTATCTGCTGAATTATTCAGCAGATTTTAGCGAATATTTCCAAATTGAAATGGATTCATCCCCACAAAAGACACGGAGCTGCCCCCAGTGCTCAAAAGTGTTTAAAAATAAGCGAAATCTGGACGCTCATCTGGTTACGCACGACCCTGATGCAAAAGTCAAATGCGACGTAAGTGTGTCTAAAAAATTTCAAATTTTGACAAGCCAACTCATTTCTTTCTTGCATATTTAGATTTGCTGGGCAATTCTGAAAAATCCGGCCACCTTATCCGGCCATATGTCACGACTTCACAGCGACCGGCCCCGCTCAGCGTGTAACATTTGCGAGAAGACGTTTTCGAACCAGGGGAATTTACAGAGACACGTGGACACCACCCACAACAAGGAGCGATCTCGTTTTCCTGCACAGTTTCCACCTGCATCGCAACTTTTTCAAGAAAGGATAAGCTTTCCGAACATGTGCGAATTAAACATACAGAAAATCCGGCCCGTTTTCCATGCACCCTTTGCGGAAAAGAGTTTAAAATGAAGAAGCACATGGAGAACCATATGATGACCCAGCACGTGACGGGGGAAACTTATCAATGTGGTACGTGTGGGAGTAACTTTGCTGATAAGAAGCTGTTACAAAAGCACGAGGTAAGTAAATCAATTTTGAAACTATGCAATTAATTTAATAATGAGGCACTTCACGCAGGCCTTCGTAATATCTAAATTTACAAACTTTTACAGTATTTTACAATCACTTTTAAGGAAAATTAGCTTACAAACTTTTGTAAACTTACTCAGATCAAAGGCGTCTTTTTATTTTGTAAAAGTTTGTAAAATTATGTTACAAAGCTTTTGGATTTTACAAGGGACTGCGTGAATTCCATCAATACATGTAAATATGTATTTCTGTATATTTTTTAAAATTATTGCAGGGCACCCATTTGGAAAAATTCGCCCACGACATGTTCCCTTGTCACCTTTGTCCTCTGACCTTCGTGAGGAGACAAGGCCTTCAACAACATGTTGGGGTTGCTCATGAAAATCAGAGGAATCATCCCTGCCCACTTTGTGACCACAGGTTAACGACTTCCACAGACTTGAAGCGTCACGTGGCAACCATACATCCTACAAACACGGATTTCGTCCATTCCTGTGGCAAATGCGAGTACCAGACAAATTCGAAGCGTTACTTGGCACAGCACGTGAAACGACACGGGATTGAGAATCGACGCCACGAGTGCTACTTTTGTGGAAAAAAGTTTATTCGTTTTGCCCACCTGGTCAGCCACAGCTGTCGGGTTCATACATTGGAAAAGTAAAAATTAAGCAGCATGAAATCGGTTTATAATTTTGGTATCTGTTCCGGTAATATTTCTTTTAATTAGAAAATGGAAACGCTAGATTAATTTCATGTTAAGTTTTCAACTGTATTAATTTCTTATTTAATTTCATTTGTTTAACCAAACCAATCCTTTGCTTAAAGGATTTGGTGGCAATTTGTGCGAGAGCGGAGAAAGCTTGATAATTGCTTCAACAACTTTTTTATTTCTTTAATTATTTAATGCCTTCCAACTTTGTAATAAATACAGAAAAATACAGGTGACGAAATCAATAATGGTTTTTATCGAACATTTATCATCTTCAGACGTCGGATATGAATGACCGATAAAATCTCAAAATATGAATGAAAAATGACCGCAGAAATCCCCAAAATATGACCATAAAAATGACTTCATTTTTTAAATTTTTGGCTTAATTTTTTCATATATTTTCTTGTAATGCTCAATTTTTATCAAATAAATAAGTTCTGGGGTGATTTAATTCATTCCAAATGAATTAAATCACCTTAGGCGAAAGTCAACGTAAATTTATGAAAGTTTCTCACAATGAATCATTGTCACAAAACTGAATTTTTTGTCATTTTCTGTCGATTTGGTTGCCAAATGTTGGAATTTGGCCAAAGATGATCAAATGAACGAAAAAAACCCGAAATATGATCGGGAATATGAATATGTCCCAAAACCCGAAAATATAACCAATATGAGAAAATATGCTTTGACCTACGTGACCTACTAGTGGCCATAAACATTCTCAGAAAGTTTGGCGACTGTAGGTCAATAAATGGAAAAAGTCATTTTTCATTCATATCCGACGTATGATCATCTTTAAAATCATAAGTGCTCTTACTTATGATTAGGCGTGTCATCTCATTTACATAAATAAATATCATTTTCATCGTCCATTTTCGGCGATTTCCATGTGGAATAAAATTTATCTCTCGCCAATGATCAAAATATGTAAATGAGGTGACGCACAAATAATTCCACTATACATCCACATGCTTATCTCAAGTCTGCACTCAAATTTTACATGGATCTGCAGAAGTTTTAAACTTGCAGATTATTTTTGAAATTTTCCTCAATAAGTATGTATGTATCTAAAGCTCTGTCTACAGTAAATATGTATATACACCTGGTCACCAGGTCCTGGTGTGATATAGAATATACATGACATTTACAATTACTATGCTATATATTTGCAAAAAGATTAATCCACAGGTTACACCACAATCCGAAAAATTTAAAAGGTCTGTTTATTTTGATCAAAATATACAACTCCATATATAATTAAAACAAACATACAATTTCATTCAAATTGCAATAATTAATTTACCAGTAGTTGCATGACACGAACAAAAACAGGGTAAATTCAATTATCATTTTCCAATAAAGAGGATAAAATCACAGTTAATTTAATTTACAGTGTTCGTTAAAAGCGAAAGAGGTAAAATCAGACATAGATACTAAAAAATCAACAAACATCAATCCCAGTCTTCATCAGCAGAATCGTATCTAACGTAATAATCTGGTTCAACGTAATTTGGCCGAACGAAATCTGGTCGAGCGTAATATTTGTAAAAATCGTTCTCAGGCCCTGAATAACTCGATGAGTCGTGGTCAAGACGACTCCCAAACGCAGCAACGTGCCACAATTGCAGCAATTCTTGGGGGTCTCTGGCAAAAAAAATTACATAAATTACTTAGTTGCTTTTAATTCGCAAAAATAATAGCACAATTTGAACCATATTTACCGCTTCATAAAGTTTTTTACTTTCTCCGTCGCATCTGTCATACCGTGTAATTCCGTAAACTTCAACAGCTCGACGCAATTTTCCAAAGAGACCACTGTCGGAAGTATCTTGTCGCACATGGAGATCAATTGTGTGATTTGGTACTGGAAAGATAACAAATATGCAAATGACCTCTACAGATAATTGTCACCCTTTATCACCCACCTTGTTCGCCGCATTGACAATCTCCTGGTAAAATTTTCCCCACGTGTTCTCCAATTCGCCGGTGTAGAGGAACTTTAGCAAGATTTTGAGCCCCTCGCCCCCCATGTCGACCAGCTTGACGACCCCGTCAGTCTTCTCCTTCATCTCAGCGGCGAACATGGCGGCGAAGACGGTGCTGTGCATAGAGAGGATGCACTTATGTGCAGAAATCCGTTGGTCATCCCTCGTCACAAAGGTCACGTCACTTTCCAAGCCGGTGTCTAGCATGGCAAGCATAACCTTTCTCTGGTTTTGGATGTGTTTAGCTTGTTCCGTCGCCATGCTGGGAGGTGGCGAATCCTTCACTGAAACCGTGATACTCTGTTTGCCATAGATCTTCATGGTGATGGTCAACTTCAAGTTGTTGCTGCCCAGTTTGTGACAAATCTGTTCGAGGGACAGGTTTTCATTGCAGCGATCCAACTTCCACGGATTCGAGGGCCTGTCAGAATCCCTGACATATTTTGACATACTGCATACTTTGACTTTGTCATCGGCCAATGTAAAGTTGCGGGGGGACATTTCTAAGAATTAGAAAATTGTAAAATGTCTAATTAAGGATTGTAGAAATTTTAAAGTTTCGAGGACGAGTTAGTTTTATAATTAAATATGGATCTGCATTTAATTCAAAAACTAATTCTCGAAGCTTTTAACTTTCTGTGGATCAATTATCATGGTCATCACCAGAGCTGGGATAATCCTGATTAAGGATTATGGATTTTAATCCCGGATTATGGATTATTAATCCATAATCCCTAATCCGACAATGAGAGTTTTTTGTAGATTAATCCCAATCCATAATCCAGATTTTTCTGGAATTTGAATTAATCCGGGAATAATCCCATTAGATGTCATTAATCCGTAATCGTGATTACGGATTACTAATCCTGATTAATCCCAATCATGACTACTAATCATGATTATTAATCCCGATTAATCCCAATCATGATTACTAATCATGATTAGGTATTCATGATTAATTCTCAATCTGGATTACTCAGTTCAATTCCCGTAGTTCTATTTCATCCCACTGTGTAGCTTGAAGTCTCAAGTTCTCACAACTTTGTCCTGTCGGCTACCATTTGAAGAGTTAACATGTTTTTGCTGCCTTGTGCTACATATATCAATTGAAACTGGCGTTTTAAATATTTTATGTGAAACCACATAGTTTAAATTTTTTGGGCTAGATATATCTGTAGGTAGTGTAAGCTGTACAATAATTGCTACACTTTAATATAAAAGGCGTTAGGACATGGTTTTGACGAATTCGCGGATGAATATCTCTGGCGGGGAGTTGAATTTTGAACTGATTTTTTGTAGGCTGTAAGATCATACTCTCAGAAAGATATGTTTAAAATTTTAGGGCAATAGCTTCAAAAATGCCCCCTCCAGTGCCCCCAGAGTTGGAAGGAGCCAAAAAAACACTTTCCAAACTGAATTACTCATATAGCATGATAACCCAAGAGGTCAGAGGTGGATGATTGTTAATATTACAACCCTAGATAATCATTGCATGAAATAATAAAAGAATCCACAATGAATTACATAACGTTGTGCCTCCATCGTCGCTGATACTTTTCCATGAAAAGTGATAAATCGGACCGTGCACCGGGAAATTGACCTGCTGACCTTGAAAACGGACAGACTGGGTCAAATGAAGATTGAGGGTAAAGCTGGAAGTGTCCTAAGTAATATTAAAACAAACAGTCAAGATTTTGTATAAACAGTTTTAGAGAAGGACCCGAGTTAATCCGCTGTCGCGGAATCCTAAAAAACTCGTGAACTTATTTGGAAAATTAATGGTAAAATTTTTTCGAAAATAAATTTTAATAATCTTTTTGTGTCCCCTACTGCAGAACTATTTTATCTACAAGGTACAAGTGCCAAAATAATAAAATTATTGCGTTTTGGTTAGTTAAATTATTTCTGAAGTTCGACATCGAAAACCACGGGAACTTTTCCAAAAATTTTATAAGGTCTGATGAAAACTCATTTCGTGGGGTGTAACCACTTATCAAAATTTTATCAAAAGTACTTACAGTGCAATATACTATATGTACCTTGGATAAAAACCACGTTAGGGATTTTTAGCATCAAAGTCGTAAAATGTGGGGGCCTTAAAAGTAGAAGAGTTGCGTTAAAGAGCGCATTCCATTAGGACAAGTATGAAATTAGACTTAAAAGATAAGCATAAGGCAAAAGTGGTTTTATATAGTGAAAGCATGCTAAGTCCATTGATAATAGTCGCAAAGACGATTTTTGCATCAGGACCTCAGAAAAAAATATATCGCTCAACGCCATTTTATAAGAACACTGGTTTGGAAAACTAAAAAAGGACACCTCTCCAAATTTGACCTTGCCTCATTTCGCAGAGTACACAAAATCGGAAGCCAGATATGCTTACCTATAGTTTGAGACATGGGCTTTCAAATAAAAAAAGTTAGAAATCTCTACGACTAAAAACCATCCCGCAATTAAGGTATGAATTCGTCAAAACCATGTCCTAACGCCTTTTGTATAGTGACTTTATACAAGTTAAGTAGAAAAAGTGGGATTTATCTTAAAACTCGAAATGAAATTCAATCTAAATGTTTCAGAAATTTCAATTCAATTCAGACACGTTGATTAGGGGCAAAGTGAGATGAGAAATTAACAGCACCTTAACCCCTCATCCAGTAGCACCTTAAAGACAAAGTTTCAAACCCTAAAAGTCAGAACGTGGAAGCAAAAAATAGATTCTTCAAAATAGCACGCTGCAGATTTGACCGGATTATCAAAACTACTATTAATATTAGAGATGCAAGATAGGAGATAACATGTTTGTCTTTTATAATAGCAAAATGGCCCGTGCAAAAAACCTAATTCAGCATAAACTTTGCATTCGAACGTATCGACAGGTGCACATATTGGAGAAAATGTTCAACGATTACCTCATGGCTAGAATCTCCCCGGCTATCGTAACGTTTCTACCCGCGATTCAAATCGTATCGCAATTCGTGTCTGTAACGATGCACGCTCAAATCGCGATGCCTGGATTTCTCATATTTCCTCTCTTCATGATCGATGGAATTACGGCGAACGTGCTCGTCTTCACGTTGGCGTCATGGGTCAATTCTAGGTCTACCGACATGCTGGAAAAATATTTGCAGAGTGTGGTCAACATCGGGGGGACGGGGGGCTTGTGCTTGAGGAAAGAGATGAAAGCCTTGACCTGTATGAAGATAAAGTTTGGGTCGAACTTTATCGATCGAAGGACGCCACTTGTGATTCAAAATTTTTGTTTGGCGCAAACCATGTCGTTGATTATGATACGGTCATCGCGTTGAGTACAGGTGTTTATGTACATATGTAAGCTTACATAAGTACAAATATTCTGCTTTGTATATGTTTTACTATCAATTTGATAGTATCAAAAAACTAGTACTTCAGAGTTTTACTCTATATTTTTGGGGTGAATTCATACAACTAGTTAGTCTTGAGCCAAGTTGAAGAAATAACTTCGCGTAAATTCTAGGACAATATAATATGTACACAAATATGTATATTTATTGTATATTTAATAACGCATAATTCATTTATGTTGATGTCATATTTGTTAATTTCTTGCTATCTTAAATACATGTATGTCCGTGAAAAATGCATAGCCCTGACTTTCCACAGGGAATAGGTTGCAGAGCTACCTGATTTTAAAATTCGTACATATGTACATATTTGTTTACGTATTTTCACAACGTATTTTTAAGTATTTATCTATTATCAGGTTGACAAATTTAATGAGGAAGTATTTTCAAACTACTTCAATTCAGCAATATCTTAATTTATATCGTAAAACCTTTTTGTACACAATCATGTAGAGAACGATACAATCTATCGATTAGTTTGTACATATTTAGCCATATCAAAGTGAGGAAATTAAAATCCATATTTCCCTGTTATACGGAAATTGGAAAGTTGGTCATCAAGATTGAGATCTGCATGAAATATTTAGATTAAATGTATTTATAAATGCACATATTTATGTATCTTGATCACATTTGAAACCTTCATGTTTTTACTTACTCATCGTTACTTACTCATATTGTTAGTTAACAATAATTACTTATTTAAAATATTTGCATATTTACATGTATTTACGTAAGTTTGTCCTTTTCATGCTTATTTCAAACTATGCCTCTTGCAAAATACAAATTTTATAAATCCACCATTGATCATAAATAAATATGTATGTATTTAAATATATAACTACTCGTTGATATCAGATCATCAATTTTCCATGATCTTGTACCCCTGCCCGCTAGGGTTAACATTTATCCCGATACTTAAATATTTATGTCCCCTTTAACCTCCTTGTGAGGGAACTATGCATATCATATGCATCCTCCCCTCCTATCTCTTCCTCGTCTCCATATTCATACATTGATGTCTCGACCGGCCACTCACTCCTAAATTATCCATACATCGACTGAAGGACATCGTCTCCTTCAGCAAGGACATATACTGTCCTCCATCCAAGAATCCTGGCAGACGGAGTTCCGGCGTCTACCAAGACGTATCTCCTCTCTCCACCACTGCCATCCTAAAGTCCCCCATAATTCTACAGTTTCCACAACCTCTAAATATATTTTGGTTTCTTGATACATAAATGTAAAATCCTCCGGCTACGTAAAATAAATTGATAACCAGTTGCTCTGTAAAAACTATAACTCTCGGGGGACGCGTATTACATTTCGGTGACTTATTTCGAGTGCTAAATTCCGATAAAACATTAACTTTCGTGTATCTCACATCATAAGTGGGGCTGCCGATCGCACATACGGCCTTACGCCTCCAAACTGTGTGGTGACCTTCCGGAACATTCATCCCAGTCCGTCCCGACTGCACTCACCTCTGACCTACCAAGCGCCCACCGGAAGACCAACGCCCACAGACGTGGTGGACCGGCAGAGTATGTTCGCTGTACCTCGACACCAGACCCAACGCCCACAGACGTGGTTAGACCGACAGAGTTTGTTCGTTGTACCTCGACACCAGGCCCATAGCCACAGACGTGATGACCTGAGATCGTTTTTTTTGGACCCCTCTCTGCCCGAAAACTCGTCCGAATTCGTGGACGCCCCTTTGTCTCATTCTGCCCAAACGAGTGGACCACGCCGTCTTCTCCATAAAACTTCGGATTTTCTGGTTCGTATCTTTCGAAGCCGTGATGAAAATCATAAAAAGGTGCCGTAAACATTTTTTCTACATTTTTATTTAACAAAAAGACGCTATACTTTTGAGTTTTTTGAGATTTATTTTTTGAAAAGTAAAACTGAAAAAAGGCAATTTTTAAACAAAACCCTTCGAAATTTTTTTTTGGGTAGTATCACATTACCCCATTTTCGTTCAGAAACTTCTGAAAAAATTTTAAAAGTGGTCAGATCGAAACAGAACTCTGACTATTATGACTCGATTTCCTTCAAATCTTTTTACATACATTCAAATTTATTA